CAACTTTTTCTATTTCACCGGACAGTTTTGATTGATCTCTCATGACTTTCAGATGATGATCGTTTGCTCTTCTTCTGAATTTTGTTTTTTCCGGAGCAGGGTGGTTTCTGGCATGGAAGCTGGTATTGAGCCACGTTCCTCTTGTTCAAGAGATCTTTGGTTTGAGGAAGAAAACCTTTAAACCAAAACCCGAGTCTCGCGGCAGATTCTCCAGATTCTACAGAAGTATCAATTCCCAGAATCCTGTTACCCAATGGTAACTAGTCTTTTACTCTTCTTCTTATTTTATCAAGAGATGATGTTATGATCTTACCTTAAACTTTGTTTTTTGGACTCATTTTTTTCAGAAATTGTCAATATCGATGATTATAGAAGCTTCCATGATCCCAAAACAGAACGACCAAAGAAGGTATTCAATGCCACAAGCCCACAATCCAGGAAGATTCAAGTTAAAGCTGAGACACTGTTAAGAGTTCTATTATGTTGTTCGATGTGTGCAATGTAGTGTGTATTTCGTGTAGATTGAAGCATTTCAAGCGCAAATCTTGGATCAGTTTTTCCATGTCTTCACACATCCTAAATTGTTGTCAAACGGATGTAATTTGATTCATGAATCAGGTGAAAAATGTTCGTTTTCCAAATCATTTGCTACACGCCAATGACAGAACAAACTACACGGATCAAATCCATGACTTGAAACATTGAAAATTTACCGAACATCGGCTCCTCCTGCAGAAGGTGTAGTCTCCTCAACAGGTGAAGGATTCTTCTTATTGATGGGTCCTAAAGAGACTTTAACCTTTGCTGGTCTCAGAACTCGATCTCCTAGAATGAATCCCCGGTTAAGCTCCTCGGTTATTAACCCTGCCTTAACCGTCTCAGATTCTTCTCGCGAAATAGCCTCGTGCAACTACAACATCAAACGAGTATTTCTAAGTCACTCAACAACAAACATTACTCATCTGAAATACTCCTTAAACTAGCCAAGCAACAACAAAGATCATATAACCGAGTTCTATTATAAAGCCTTTACACTACATTTGGCAACCAAATCACCAAATCTATTACCAGTTTCAAGCAGGTTTCTTAGTGATGCAACAAAGAGCTATGACTGAAAGTGAATACTGAAGAAGAGCTTCTACTTACCAAAGGATCAAAGGGCTTCCCTACAGTTGCAATGGCTGCAAGACGAAGATGCCTCAAAACCTCAACGAATTGCCTGTAAATTCCCTGATAACTCATATCGATCTTCTTCTCCTTCTCCGTATCAAGTTTGATCTGTTGCCTTGCACTCTCAAAACTATCAATGATTGGTAAGAGACTCTTCATGATCTGCACTTTTGCGTTAGACTCTGTACTAAGCTTATCCTTGTCAAGTTTTTTCCTTGTATTATCAAAATCAGCCTGTAATCTGATTTTCGCTTCTTTCTCTGAAGCTATCTTCATTGATAAAGATAAAACCTTTTGGTCCATCTTGTTCTTTTCCTTCTCGATTCGGCGCAAAACCGTTTCGATTTCTGAAACGGTGATTTCGTCTCCTTCCAAGAGAGCTTGTTTATAAACCCTAATTAGGGATTTTACATCTGCAGGGTGCTTTGAATTCGCTTCATTTCTCTGCAAAAATCAAGAACAACAACAGCAATACTTCGAATTAGAAGAAAAACCCATGAATTTAGAACCTATCCGACCCAAATTGAGTTTCGAAAATCAAGATGCGAATCTGTGAGTACAACTTACAGGAGAAGCTTGGAGAGATGCTACGTAGCTACCCCGAGTGTTCATGGTAATCGGAGAGAGATACAATCCTTGGTTGGGTTTGGAATTCAATGGAGAGGAAGAAGATCTGCCATGGAAATGGAGGCTTCGCAGGGGTAAGGATCTC